TATATCTGCATTGCTTATGTCGAAAGCTAGCCTTACTGATAGTTTAATTTACTTGAAAGTAAGATATGAGGCTATCCTCCAGTTTCAACACCAACTTTGCCATGGTACTGGCCACTGGCTGCCTCAATGAGGTCACCTAGTTAACTTCACCAGCCCCCGATGCACAGTTGAAGCAGCATGAAAATTAAGTAATAGATGTTAGATTTAATGTGCCTCCGGGTGCCACTGGTTCCAACACCGGCACACTGGCAACGAAGAAAGTGTGCCAACATCACAGACAAGATTTGGGGATGTGTCCCAAGCAGGGCAATTCAAAGAACACTTCTGGAACAACCAAGGTGGAGTGGAGAAAGGCCAGGAGGTTAGTGTTACATGAAGAGTGACTCCACACTGAGAGAAAAGTTGATGTTGATAGCCTGCATTTCTTTGTTTGATACTCTTCTGGAGATTAATCCCCTGGATAGGACCAGCTCAAGACTTGTACTTACTTACTTTATGAGTACCTAAAGCCAGAAAGCAAATAAAAACTTAATTAGACTTGTGGGATCCAAGAAAAAGTCAGTAAAGTCCAACTGGACCTGTACTGCATGGGGAAAACCAGCCTGTTGAATATGGGGACATTTGTATTACAGAATCCAAACGTCATTTCCAATATTCTAATTTCACTGACCACTAATAGGAAAAGGGGGAGAATACGAATGCCCCCAGTTTTTTTACTAAATAGCTCTGCACTGGCAAAGGCTGGTGGCAGGGGGTCGAGAGTGATCTGTCTACCCTCTATTACTTATTATAAAGTCTCCCCAATATTGTCTTAGTAGTTGATTCTAGTGTGAGACTAGGTTTCTCTTGCTGCTGTACACCAAAACTAAGTTGTAAAAAGTTACACTTACCCCTACCTAAAGGGTTAAAACATAGATACCATGGTGAGGGGGAGCCTGCTTTAATAGTATACTGTTTTTGGTATACTTGGATAACATGGTTATGGCTTTTTAGTGAATATCGGATAACCATATGGCTTTTTAGTTAATATCTCATACAAAGGAGAAAAACAAGAGAGGAGAGGGAACAAAAGGAGAGGCAAAGCAGATCCTAGTGTAATACGTCCAATAAAACCTTGGCTCTATGTATAAACAGCATATGTGTCTTTATAAGGAGACCCTACCTTTTCTTGAACCAGCAGCAGCAAAACTTGACTCAAAGAAGTATATATATACTTCTTTGAGTCAAGTTTTGTGTGTGTATATATGTATATATATATATATATATATATATATATATATATATATACACATATAGGGGCCGACCAGCTCTCTCGTTTCTGCTTGTGAGCATTGGTTAGTGGTGGCCGAATATAAAGTTTATGCACAGTTGCAAGACTCTGGAGGACTCCGTGGACTCCGTGGGACTCCAGAGGCACCAGCAGTTTCAAATATCTATTTGCTGCTTTGTAAATGTATTTTAGCAGCTGCTCTCTTGATCCGATGCATGGATCTGGCAGAAATCTTCCTCAATGTGCTTTTATCTGCACGAACCGGTCTGTGCTCTGAATCAGCCACAAATCTCTCAATAGTGCGATGATCACGCTTAGGTTTTCATGAAATATCTAATGTTTTCATACCTCGTCCAAGGCATTGAACTATTTCACTCTTTTTGGCAGCAGAGAGATCCCTTTTCTTCCCCATATTGAATGAGCATGAAAATGGTGCTCTGCTTAATAATGTGGAACACCCTCCTTTAGTAGTTTTTCCTTAAATTGGGCTCACCTGGCAATCTAATTATCACAGGTCTCCGAGATTGTTTTCAGTGATCAAAGGAGCCCCGAGAAACAATGCCATCCATGAGTTAAACTGAAAAACAAAATATTTAATCTTTGTGACACTTAAATAGAATTTGCATAATAATTTGGAACAGGGTCTATATATATATATATATATATATATATATATTTGTATAGAAATATATGGTATAACATACACCAACTGGTGGAGCGCTTATACAAATAAAAAGTGATAGAGGGGTTCACTTACCCCAACAATTTAGTGTGATTTTAAATTCAAGAACATGCTTGTAAACATACAAAGAAGGGAACAAAGAGATAAAAAAAAACATACAGAGTAGATGGTCTTTAGTGATGATGAGTGATAAAAGTAAAAAAACTAGAACCACTCACATGTTCTGGAGCTTATATAACATTGGCTATGTAACATAAACCTTTATGCTCTTTGGGCAGCAAATCTATGTTGACCTCCCCCTAAACATGAAGAGGAGACTTTGATCTACAACACTGGCATAGGTGACGTGCGGTTTGAAATGCCGCGTCACTTCCGCTAGCCCGACGAGCAAGAACAAGAGGGCACATAAACAACGCCCCTGTCCACCAATGACCCTCCTAGCACTGAACATCCACTTCCGGCAGTGGAGGGCGGATGTGGCGAACCACGCCATTTCCGCCAACCACCTACCATTTTTTCTAAATATTTCTGAACCACCAATGATATGGCTATATATAAATTAAACAGGATTGATACATCCCATTAACATATAGGGGCTCCCCAATCCCAGGTGTCACTAGGTTACATTAATGACTGCAGAAAACCTACATCCAGGATTGGACAATTATACACCATGTGACCTCAAAGAGGAAGGAATGGAACATTTTAATTTTGGTCACTGCAGCTGTAAGCCCCAAGTCACCATACATCCCTGCAAGAAGGCCTTTTAATTTTGATCACTGCAGCTGTAAGGTACGGACTGAGATGGAGAAGATATTCAACCAGATTTATTTTATTTTGTTGCTAGATTATTACTTTACTATAATGATACTACCATTGTTACAGATAGTATACTATAGTCTCATCTCCCCAGTTTAACCTTTAGATTGTAAGCTCACGGGCAGGGTCCTCTACCTGTTGTATCGGTCTGTTATTATTGTGTTTGTCTTTTTCCCAATTGTACAGCGCTGTGGAATTTGTTGGCACTTTATAAATTCCAGAAATAATAATAATAATTTAAAAAGCAAGAAATCCCTGAGGCTACACTACAGCTGACTGAGGAAGCTCACAGACGAGTGAAACACGTTTTGGCTTATTTGGACTTTTACTGATAGTTTTTATACTCCAAATTTCTGGTTTTAAATGTATTACTTTTATTTGGAATCAATAAAATTATTTTTTACATCCACTGAAGTCGTTGAAGCCTCTGGGAATTTCTGTAGGCACACTGCTGATCATCCTCAGAGCCAGGAATTTAAATGCTTTAAACAAGGGAAGCATAACATTTACCATCTACATATTTTCTGCCAGTTTGCACAAATACCACCCATTGGGTCTATTTTTCTTTTGTTCCCTGTGTCGAGGTACATCTCAGAGGAAGGGGTGTGTTGCTGCCCAAAGAGCATAAAGGTTTACGTTACGGAGCCAATATTATATAGGCTCCAGACGATGTGAGTGGTTCTAGTTTTTTTACTTTTATCACTCATCATCACTAAAGACCATCTACTCGGTATGTTTTTTTTATCTCTTTGTTCCCTTCTTTGTATGTTTACAAGCATGTTCTTGAATTTAAGATCACACTAAATTGTTGGGGTAAGTGAACCCCTCTATCTATTTGTATAAACGCTCCACTGGTTGGTGTATTTTATACCATATCTTTATATATTGTTAACTTATTGTGGAAAAACAGGTATTCCACTTTATGTGTTTGAGCTGCTTTGTATTTAGGCACAGAATAGTATCACTTATTACCTCTGAAAAGGGGTTTTATTTCTGTTTTTTGTTATATATATATTTGTTCTCGAAATTTCTAATAGGTTATGGAATGTATCAGAAGATGCAAAGTTGGTTGAGGTGTGCCGAAACCAATGTACAAGTAGGCCTGTAATAAAAAGAGGGCCCAAAAAGGTGAAATGTAATATGTAGATGGGTATAGGTGGGTGGGGTCAAACAGCTTGAATGGCAGAGGTGAGTAGGGGCTAGGAGTTTAAGTAGGGGCCATAACTCCTCCCACAAATTCAGGCCTAATAGCCTTTTAACTTGTGCTAGGAATTTCTAATAGGTTATGGAATGTATCAGAAGATGCAAAGTTGGTTGAGGTGTGCCAAAACCAACGTACGAGTAGGCCTGTAATAAAAAGAGGGCAAAAGGAGGATTCAAAGAAAAACACACTTTATTGCAAGTTACAAAGCAAGACTTCTGAAAGCTTGTCGAAGCTCCCTCTCCGGTCGTGGTATGTAGGTATTGTAAACAGAGGATTTCTTAATGATGTGGACTGGTGTGTTTGAGCTAGATGCTGCGCTAGATGCTACGCCCATACGGAAGGAGTATATAAATATATATAGCAAATGGCATTTATTGAAAACAACATAAAAACAAATAAATTAATATAAAAAAATGCTATACAAAATCCTGATGTGGTCCTTTTCCATCAGAGACATGTTTCACTGTAATAGATACAGCTTTTTCAGCCAGTATCTTGTTCATTCCTGCTTGATTCATTTAAATTGCCATATCCAAATTCTGATTGGTTGCCGCATTTGTGACCTAACCAATCATGATTTGGATATGGCAATTTTCAGATCATCACACATACAACAAATTGATATATGATTCTACAGGCGATGTTATCCATCACATAGTGAATTATCTGCAAAGAGTCTTGCAGTCCAACTTTATCTCTATAGATCTATACCCGTATCTGCTACAGATCTCACCGAGAACTCCGGTGATTTATACGTTACCTAAAGTCCATAAGAACAAAGAAAGGCCTCTGGGTCGACCGATTGTGTCAGTGATAGGGGGAGTCTTGGAACCTTTAGCTGAGTGGATAGATTTCCTGCTTAAGGACACCATCGAGCATCTCCCTACATGCATTAAGGATACTCCTAGTTTTATTCAACAGCTGTCCAAGATGTCATTACTAGAGATGTTGCGAACCGTTCACGAACTTTTCGCGAACGGTTCGCCACGGTTCGCCACGAACCGTTCGCGGCAAACTCCAGTCAGCTGACACATCCCGGCCAATCTCCAGCAGACCCTCCCTCCCAGACCCTTCCACCTCCTGGACAGCATGCATGTTGAAGCTGCCTTCAACATGGATGCTGTCCAAGAGGTGGGAGGGTCTGGGAGAGAGGGTCTGCTGGAGATTGGCCGGGATTTGTCAGCTGACCTTAGTTCACCGCGAACGGTTCGTGGCGAACCGCGGCGAACCGTTCGCGCAAAGTTCGCGAACGGTTCGCAACATCTCTAGTCATTACCCAAGGAACCTGTTGTTCTGGTCACTTGTGATGTAAAAAGTTTGTATACAGTGATACCTCACCAGGATAGGTTTCAAGCCATGAGAACGATACTTTCTGCATCTACCTATTGTTCTGGACCCCCGATAGAGTTTACTTTAGAACTTCTGGATATCGTGCTTTCACAGAACTATTTTTGGTTTGAAACTGACTTGTTTAGGCAGATCGCTGGTACATCCATGGATGCGGCAATGACACCCATGTATGCAAACGGATACATGTACATCTTTGAACCAGTTATATTTTGGAACCCTATAAAGATCATAGCTTGATGTTTGTTCGGTACATTGACAATATTTTTATGTTAATCAAGGGTGAAATATCTGGGGTTGAAGAAATGATTTGGTCCATCAATCTATGTACACCGAATATTGAATTAATGGCTGTGATGTATTTGTCTTCTGTGGATTTTCTAGATGTGAGAGTATACCATGAGGGAACAAGCCTGGTGTTGTGGGGATATTTATGGGATAATAATAATAAACAGTGAGAATTGCCCACTAATTCAATTCTCAGACCCAAAGATCGTTATCGTGTTAAGTGGAAAGTATTTCATATAAATAACATCACAACTCTACAAAAATAGATTTTATTTTATAATAACAAGTTAATTAATAATAATAATAAGTAACATGCGTGACAATAATCAATGAATATCCAGTATAAAATGGTATGCAATACAAAGGAATGGCTATACACGTTTCAATGGCTAAACAGCATTTTCTGTCAAGACTTCTGACGATTTATGAGGTATCCTTACACAAAGAAAAGCGAAGCTTTTCACAGCGAAGGGCCATAAAACCCTGGCTAACAGTTAGAATAACCCTTTCAATGCTGGCTAGATCTCCTAGGTAATTAAGATCTATTCTTATGTAATTTTAAATAAAATAACATTTAAACCAGTTCATTAGTCATTTCCTGGAACCATCCAATAAGAGAATCTACCATATTTATATAAGCAGATTTTAATTTGTCTAAAAGATATCTTATCTTAATTTAGAACAAATCAATACACCTGCATAAAAACAGCGGTATGCTAACATGTGATAATATCACCTTAATATATCATTATTCTTAATTCCACCTGCAGAATGGAATGTTTATAACTATATATTCTTTAGTTAACTAAGATTTCTTAATATGGAAATCTGACCGTGATTTATCGAGTCATATCATGCTATTAGTAAATTGTAATTAATTTAATTAATTAAATGAAACCAGTATAATTACCAGTTGAGTAGATATTTCATCCGATTGGTAGATAGTCTCAGGAACTTATTTGGATGTCTGTAGGTGCATGAGTTATGGTGAAAGGTGGTGTTGGTTAGAAAGTCAGTAAAATTCTAAGTGTTAGAGTTTTAAGAGTAGAGTGTTAGTCTCAGATGTTGTCCTGGGTTTCTCTGCATGTCCGAGTTGGAGTCCCCAAACTTCCAATTCCTCTCTCTCTCCTCTTTTTCCTTTGCATACCCACTGTCTTCCCTTTGTCCTAACTTTTAAAGGGCCAGACTCTCTGTACGTCATCAGTTGATAACCCAATAGAAGCACTAGAGGTGTGGTTACCTCCCAGATCGCAATTTAGGTATTTGATCTATAGAGGGCAGTCTTGTCCCACTAAACATACCTATCCAGGAAAGAGTTAACGTTTCCTGGTGGCTATTTTGACGTCATTTTGGCTTATCTCAAATGACCACCATAACTTACGTTTCCTTTCACTTCAAAGGGTTTTCTCTTAGTTTTGTCCAGACTTAGTGTCCGTGATTCCTGCTATAATTTCTGATATGGCAGATCATGAACTAAGTTTAACCTTTTCCGTACAATGGTACCTTATACATATAGAAAGTAAAATTAAATTATTTAATCTTCTCTGTCACAAATGTCTGGGTTTAGAATTGATTATATTCCATTAGCATTTAGACAGTCTATCCAACCCCCGTTCTCCTTATCACTTGGTTTGTATATACTATGCATTCCTTTAGCTCTGGGAACGTGGTTAGTTTTACAGATAGAAATCTTGTGTCTTTTTGTTAACTTGAAAATAACAAAATGGAGTCCGCTCTGTTCGAAGTGACTCAGAATATACACTTTTATTTTCTATCATAGCACAAGATGTCTGCCGATATAAATATCCTGACATAACCCCCCTTTAGTGCATTTCGTAGCCAAAATTAATTTAGCTTATGAATAAGCACTATAGAAGTTACCAGACATATTGTGCAATCACATCATTTCTAACATAGGCCCGTGCATGGAATGAACATTTTTGTATATATTTGTACCTGTAATAGTTTTGAACTTTACACTTAGTACAATCAACCATAATATCATTATTATCATAGCACACCCAATAACAATCTTAACATGGATGAACCAGTCAACACGAGCAATAAGGTCAGTATCTAGCTCAGAGTATTTAAATGTATCCACAGAAATGTTATCTTTTCTGATTGACATTTGGATAGTGTGGTTGGGCTTATGGTCCAGCAAGAACTTTAGATTAGGATCTAGAGGGATATCTAGATTCTGGAAGGGATCCACCATCTCAATAGCACTTTCGATGACGTCAGTGTACACTGGGTATAGCGTAACGTCACCAATGGTGATACGAGAGTCGTGGGGTACCTTGATCAGTGAGACAGTTGCTGGTAAGGCAATTACTTTATTAGTCACCTGGTCCCTGCGAAAAACACTTATTTTTTTAAGACACGTGCTTACCAACCATTTATCTTTTACTAAGATCGCATGTACTAACGCATTACTGTCGGTTTTTGACATAGTTACTTGACATGTTTCAGAGCCATGTTTAAGGTACTCGATCCCACACAAAGCATTGGTAGAATCGTACACAAAAGGTTTTCCATCACATTGGAAATTATTGTCTTTGAATTTTTCACAGTCATTCAAAATGGGTATTGAATACCAATCTGGTACCCACAGTTGAAAAGCCAAAACATCTGGGTTTGGACTTTTACGTGGATATTTTCCTTCCGTGTACCGACATTGTAGATTGTTTTCATTTGAAAAATGTTTTTGGGAGTTACATATGGTATGGCCAATAAAAAGCAAATCTCCATACGTTCCGGATCAATTAAGAGAGGTATAGCGCTCCCCATCTCAAAGGCCAGATTTAATTGCATAGGCTCAATTGTTTCTCCATCCACATTGGCAAGCATCGCATGAACAATATCCTTGGATACAAAGTACAGAGGTATGCGTCCCCCTGCCAATTCGATCATTCCAGTTTGCACTTCATCAAGAAAAGCAAGTGTGTGGAACAATATTGGGTCATGCAGAAATAGAAGTTCACGCTTAAATAAGTCATGACTTTGGTGCAACTCAGTGGATTTGGCAATTAACTCTGAATGCAAATTTGTTGTAACAACTGTGTCTTCCACAATAGTTAACACGTCTTGGAGGAGTGTTCTTTGCTGTTTTATCACCTGATGAATATCGTTAATGTGTTGCTTTAGCGCATAGATTTCCATATCCAGCTTTTGGACAGTAATAGAGTTGGCTGCAGACATTCCAGTTGCGACAACTGCACCGACAGTGGCACAAACTAATGCAACAATTATGGCGGTGAGGAACCTTTTGGGTCGATTGCTCATCGGAATAGAACTGGATACAAATGGTTTCCGGGCTTGCTCCAAGATGTTTTGCACACGGTCCTGTGCTCTTTGGAGGTGCATCTGGTACCAAGTCTGTAACTCAGGAAGCTGCATCGATGAAATGTTGTATGCCTTCTCGATGGAAATCTTGGGGTCCAAACTGACGAACACACGTCGGGTCAGGATCCTCTTCTCCGTTAAGATGAACCCAGGTGTCTCTTGAATCAGGATGCCGGAGGATGGTCCCATCTCTGCGATCGGGTCGGTCCGTAGCTCTTGGCACAGGATCAGTACGATCCAGAAACACGCCACATCCTTCTTGGCCATCTTTCGACAGTCACGGATCAGGAACTTGTTTCAGACTTATCTACTAATGATTCAAGGTTTGTTAAGCATACAAACTTATAACAGTGTGACATCACTTGGCCTAGGACAATGCATTATTACGATTCATCAACATATGTATTCTGTCTAATTCTATTTTTATAACTTCATCCCTCACTACATTTATTACTGACTCTTCAGCAATATGCCTATAGCAGTTAAACAAACTAGTAACCTGCTTAAAAATGTAGTTATTGGATGGCAAGGAAATGGTTAATGACATGAACGTACATGAGATCATGGCACATCACAACAATTCACATCATACTATACCACGTGAATCAAGCATTCATCCAGGTTAGTCGTTCTACGTCCGAATCCACACCTATAAACCTTAATTGAGATTTAGGATGACAAGCACGCAACTGGTTAATGTGAACCCACTTTTCAATAAAATCACCACCAGGAATTTTTATCTTATACGCTACTGGGGAAATTTTGTCAATGATGACATATGGCCCTTTCCAAGAAGGTAAAAATTTCTTTTCCTTGACTTGATTTCGCGCAAAGTTATACAGATAGACTTGATCTGTGATCTCATATTCCTTTTTCGTGGTTTTTAGATCGTAATAGGTCTTAACCCCTGTCGCTGCTTTTTCTAGATTCTTTTGGGCAAAAGCAAACGCATGCTGTAAATGCTTGCGCAAATCTTCGATATACTGATGCGTAGTGGCAGCATTGATCAAGTTATGATCCGAAGTACGATATAGTAAATGCTGTGGTAAAACCATCTTTCTTCCTGTCATCAATTCAAAAGGTGACAATTTGGTAGCAGTGCTAGGTGTAGCTCTAATCGCCATTAAAACTAGGGGCAATTTAATGTCCCAGTCTTTACCAGACTCCTTAACATACTTCTTCAGAATATTAACGATAGACTGGT